GAGCCACCGCTGCGCTCCACGTCTGAGATCGTGTGACGTCGTCAAGACCGAGGGGTAGACGCCCCTAGGGTCGCAATTGAGATAATACTCATATATCTACGACTGCAGAAGAGTCAAACAGCCAGACAGTCCATGTGAGTCCCCACTGCTGGCAATACCTAATTGTCAAACAGCCAGACAGTCCATGTGAGTCCCCACTGCTGGCAATACCTAATTGTCGATACAAGTATGCCAGCGTAGTCGATCCCCATGAGTGACCCCCAATGGTATCCAAGCCGTCGAGAACCTCAACTAGGAGCTTGGGACTCACTCTACTACCACTCTTATCGACGAACAATGTGGTAGACAGCAGCACCCAAATCCAGGCACCAGCCTGATCCGAAGCCAACAGGCCTTTACCCCTGAATTTGTCCACAATGGAGGCTTCGGTCACCGAACCACGCTGCCAGAACGGTGAAATGAGGTCATGCTTCATGACCAAAAGTATCTTCATGCAGTAAGCCTGGCAGACGTCTGTATTCGAGTCCTCAATGACCACGGCTCCCTCCATAGGAACCCCCAAAATGGCCCAGACATCATGCTGCATGATGCTCATTTCACCAAAAGACAGGTGAATTGAGTTAGTATCCGATTGTCATCGCTCCAGAAATGCAGAAAGTAGCGGAGTGTCCAAGTGGTCATGCATGGAGTCTACCAGATGTGACAGCCCGGTCTTTCCGATCCGATTTTGTGCCTCGAAAGACATATCACATTGCCAATTCTTCAGATTTTCCAGCGCTCGTTGTCTGTTCTGGCATTTCAGTAAGCCTCGCATCTCTCCATTCCACATTCGGGAGACTACGTGCCCTAGAAAGCTAGGAATCACACTCCCATCAATGGGCCCACGAACACTGGACCTTTGACGATCCAGGTTGCCTCATGATCAATCGTAGATCGTTTGCTAGTACTTGCATTAGAATAGAACATATAAATATATATATATATATATATATATATGACATAATGTCCCTAACAGGACCGATAATTTGTTATTATTAAGTCAAAATATTTAAAGTCAAACAACAATAAATACGTAAATTATTTACCAGAGGGTCAAGTGCTAGCAAAACGTCCCTCAGCTTGTCGTGGAGGAACAAGCCGAACATGTCGTGAAGGAGCCGCAGGCTGTGCAGGAGTCGTAGGTGGGGGGAGAGGAGAAAGAATAACGTCATCATGGCAATGGTATGCTAATTCTGCTGTCAGCTTCTTTATACTTAAAAGGAAATACTTTAGTCATTAACAGGATATCTCCTCATATAAATCTTTTGTCTTCCTCAATATAAAGAAGAATATAGCTCTTGCATGTTGGAGTATACTATAGAAGCTCAACTTTGTGTTATTCCCAACTCCATTGTGAATGAGATGTGCGTTTTTAGTCAAGTGTATGTTCGTGGTTTATTTATTTATGCGAACATAGTTCTTGTATTTTACATTGTAGATAATATAATTCTATTTGTCGAACAAAAAGATCATATTATTGATGCCTTTGAAAATATAAATATTTGTTCACGACTCAGATAAAATTGAACTAACTGTCCTGAAATTAGTTGATCTTTGGCTAATAAATTACACTGGTAAAATTCAGATGTATTGGACAGGACCTACAAAAAGGATAATATTATTTTATACCGACCAAATAAATAATCTGGACCTCAGTAATTGTTGCATACTCTTAACCTGTAAGACAATAAAAATGGACATATGCATTCGGTACTTATTTATTTGATTTACTAAGGGTGAAACCTATTCTGGTAGGTCGGCAAACTCGATACTTATGTCGGGTGTATGATGTGTCATAAAAATTGTTTACGGTCACTGTGTCACAGTCCGTCGTGTTGATGACGTCCTTGAAATGAGCCCAAGAAGAATTATTATGTCAAGACCGGTTGGCCGATTAATTTTCGACATAATGATAACGGATAGAGTGATATTCCTTTACCATATTAAACACTACTAAAGTTTTAAAACGTATTAAATTGAAGATTGAGAAAAAAAAAAAAAAAAAAA